AGGCAACTGTGAAAATGTTAACTGTCAATGTACATAAACCTGAGGCAACTGTGAAAATGTTAACTGTCAATGTACATAAACCTGAGATAATTGTGAAACTGTCAGCTGTCAATGTACATAAACCTGAGGCAACAGTGAAACTGTTAACTGTCAATGTACATAAACCTGAGGCAATTGTGAAACTGTTAACTGTCAATGTACATAAACCTGAGGCAACTGTGAAACTGTTAACTGTCAATGTACATAAACCTGAGGCAATTGTTAAACTGTTAACTGTCAATGTACATAAAACTGAGGCAATTGTGATAATGTTAACTGTTAATGTACATAAACCTGCGGCAACTGTGAAAATGTTAACTGTCAATGTACATAAACCTGAGGCAATTGTGAAACTGTTAACTGTCAATGTACATAAGAAAATGTTAACTGTCAATGTACATAAACCTGAGGCAACTGTGAAACTGTTAACTATCAATGTACATAAACCTGAGGCAACTGTGAAACTGTTAACTGTCAATGTACATAAACCTGAGGCAACTGTGAAACTATTAACTGTCAATGTACATACACCTGAGGCAACTGTGAAACTATTAACTGTCAATGTACATAAACCTGAGGCAACTATGAAAATGTTAACTGTACATAAACCTAAGGCAACAGTGAAACTGTTAGCTGTCAATGTACATAAACCTGAGGCAACAGTGAAAATGTTAACTGTCAATGTACATAAACCTGATGCAACTGTGAAAATGTTAACTGTCAATGTACATAAACTTGAGGCAACTGTGAAAATGTTAACTGTCAATGTACATAAACTTGAGATAATTGTGAAACTGTCAGCTATCAATGTACATAAACCTGAGGCAACAGTGAAACTGTTAACTGTCAATGTACATAAACCTGAGGCAACAGTGAAAATGTTAACTGTCAATGTACATAAACCTGAGGCAACTGTGAAAATGTTAACTGTCAATGTACATAAACTTGAGGCAACTGTGAAAATGTTAACTGTCAATGTACATAAACTTGAGATAATTGTGAAACTGTCAGCTATCAATGTACATAAACCTGAGGCAACTGTGAAACTGTTAACTGTTAATGTACATAAACCTGAGGCAATTGTTAAACTGTTACCTGTCAATGTACATAAAACTAAGGCAATTGTGATAATGTTAACTGTTAATGTACATAAACCTGAGGCCACTGTGAAACTGTTAACTGTCAATGTACATAAACCTGAGGCAATTGTTAAACTGTTACCTGTCAATGTACATAAAACTGAGGCAATTGTGATAATGTTAGCTGGTAATGTACATAAACCTGAGGCAATTGTGAAAATGTTAACTATCAATGTACATAACCAGTGGCAACTGTTAAACTGTTAGAGGGAATTGTGAAACTGTTAACTATCAATGTACATAAACCTGGGGCAACTGTGAAACGGTTAGCTATTTCAGGAATAAGCAACTGTTGCTAAAAGACTTTCAATCCCACAATCAGTGTCATTTATTGGACCTGTTTAAAAGTTACCATGAGTTAAAATAATAGAAATATGGGACAGAGAAGGTTAAAGTAACAGCTAGGGCATAATGTGATCAAGTTATAGAAGACTGGGACAAAAGAAGTTCAGACACAGACACCATGTCTAGAGTCACTGACACCATGTCTAGAGTCACTGACACCATGTCTAGAGTCACTGACACCATGTCTAGAGTCACTGACACCAATGTCTAGAGTCACTGACACCGTGACTAGAATCACTGACACCTTGTCTAGAGTCACCGACACCATGTCTAGAGTCACCGATACTATGTCTAGAATCACCGACACCATGTATAGAGTCACTGACACCATGTCTAGAGTCACTGACACCATGTCTAGAGTCACTGACACCATGTCTAGAGTCACCAACACCATGAGTAGAGTCACCGACACCATGTCTAGAGTCACTGACACCATGTCTAGAGTCACTGACACCATGTCTAGAGTCACAGACACCATGTCTAGAGTCACTGACACCATGTCTAGAGTCACAGAAACCATGTCTAGAGTCACTGACACCATGTCTAGAGTCACAGACACCATGTCTAGAGTCACTGACACCATGTCTAGAGTCACTGACACCATGTCTAGAGTCCCTGACACCATGTCTAGAGTCACTGACACCATGTCTAGAGTCACCGACACCATGTCTAGAGTCACTGACACCATCTCTAGAGTCACAGAAACCATGTCTAGAATCAGTCTAGCTGGTGAGCTGTCTGGTATTAAAGGAGTTAACACAGCCAAGGCCTTCAGCTTATTTATTTCACAAGACAGAATAACACAGACATTGTTTGTTTGTTTATTCTGTCAGAATTGAATCACAAAGCCTAAACTCAATGTGCCTCACACCAACCATACCTCTTGTAATCAAAACTCTCCAAAATCCCTACTTCCTCTTGCCCACACTACTATAAACCCTAACTCTTGTATCCCAATTCTGAGGATCAATCTCCCTCAGGCAATCGGTTTGACCCCAAACATAGACTCCGCTTTCTTCAACCCTGTAATACCAACCTTCCTAGAGGCTGGCTGGCAGCTGTAAAGAAGTCACTGTCCTCATCATCATCAGCATCATCAAACAGGCTATCCCTGGCTGTCTTCTGTGAACAATGACAACAGGACAGTGTGAACAATGATGTCAGGACAGTGTGAACAATGACAACAGGACAGTGTGAACAATGATGTCAGGACAGTGTGAACAATGATGTCCGGACAGTGTGAACAATGACAACAGGACAGTGTGAACAATGATGTCAGGACAGTGTGAACAATGACAACAGGACAGTGTGAACAATGATGCCAGGACAGTGTGAACAATGATTTTAGGACAGTGTGAACAATGATGTCAGGACAGTGTGAACAATGATGTCAGGACAGTGTGAACAATGACAACAGGACAGTGTGAACAGTGACAACAGGACAGTGTGAACAATGATGACAGGACAGTGTGAACAATGACAACAGAACAGTGTGAACAATGATGACAGGACAGTGTGAACAATGATGACAGGACAGTGTGAACAATGATGACAGGACAGTGTGAACAATGACAACAGGACATTGGGAACAATGATGACAGGACATTGTGAACAATGATGACAGGACAGTGGGAACAATGATGACAGGACAGTGTGAACAATGATGACAGGACAGTGTGAACAATGATGACAGGACAGTGTGAACAATGATGACAGGACAGTGTGAACAATGATGACAGGACAGTGTGAACAATGATGACAGGACAGTGTGAACAATGATGACAGGACATTGTGAACAATGATGACAGGACAGTGTGAACAATGATGACAGGACAGTGTGAACAATGGTGACAGGACAGTGTGAACAATGATGACAGGACAGTGTGAACAATGATGACAGGACAGTGTGAACAATGATGACAGGACATTGTGAACAATGATGACAGGACAGTGTGAACAATGATGACAGGACAGTGTGAACAATGATGACAGGACAGTGTGAACAATGATGACAGGACAGTGTGAACAATGATGACAGGACAGTGTGAACAATGATGACAGGACAGTGTGAACAATGATGACAGGACAGTGTGAACAATGATGACAGGACAGTGTGAACAATGATGGCAGGACAGTGTGAACAATGATGTCAGGACAGTGTGAACAATCTCAGGAAAACATAACTATATTATATTGGCATATGATATTACGACATGTTTGATACTCCTTTCTGCTGTCAACAATATGTAATGCCAAAGACATTTGTCTACGTCTTGTTCGTGGTACACAAGCTCTCTCCCCAGCCCTCCAGGGTGTAGTGACACTTTGCTACTTTCATACAGATGATATTGACTGAGCCAATGTTCTCAATATTCTTGGTAGATTTAGTCTATTTTGTCAATCTATCTGTGGTCTATCTTGTCAGTCTATCTATAGTCTATCTTGTCAATCTATCTGTATTCTATCTTGTCAATCTAGCTGTAGTCTAACTTGTCAATCTAGCTGTAGTCTATCTTGTCAATCTAGCTGTAGTCTATCTTGTCAACCTAGCTGTAGTCTATCTTGTCAATCTAGCTGTATTCTATCTTGTCAATCTAGCTGTAGTCTATCTTGTCAACCTACCCTTCTGCCCTGTGCTTTTAATATTATTTAGCCTTTCCTCTTTTTTACCTGAATGATGAGGTAATCAATCAATCCAACAGCTGCCATCTCTACAGTAAAGATCAGCTACAATCAATCCCCAACAAACATTGTCTCTCACCCAAGGTGCTCGCTGTCCCAGGCCTTCCATTCATCTCTCAAGTATTCTTCTACTGAATTGCTATACAGCAGTTCAATTATTTCAGCCAAATCACATACATATATTATCTTCACATTCTGGACAAGCCGATGATGCACTTTATGAGAGGATTGAACATGCTGACATGTCTATTTCGCTGACATGTCTATTTCACTGCCGTAACAATTTTGTTAGGAGGTTAGTCTGAACTTTTTTGTGGAACAGGCACCGCTGGCCACATCAAACATTAAAGAAGTTTATACAGAAATGTAATCGGGGAAGATCGTGTAGGGATTGAGTCAGATCATTTGATAGATTCTGCACATGGAAATACAAGAGAATCTAGAGTCTGTTAGAGGAGGGATGGGAATAAAGAACTCTCTGACAGGAGTTATATGCCAGTTTGGGAGAAATAACTTGCTAAGCGATGTGTTTGATAAAAAACTATTTAAAATTATAAAAATACATATCACAGCCCCAGAATAAATATGTGTGTGCTCTCTCTCTCTCTCTCTCTCTACACACACACACAGAAAGAGAGAGAGCCACCTAAAGTATGCACAAGCACACATACACACACATATAAACACCATTTACCTTTCCATTAAACTGAGGCAAATTCTGTGCAGGGAAATTCTCGCTAGTTTTTTCTTCAGATTTACTGTAAATGAGACTCAAAAAGTAAAGGCAAGATTCAGTTAAAGTGTCTCACAACTGAACAAGTTCAGAACATCACCCAGACCCTCACAGACATCACCCAGACCCTCACAGACATCACCCAGACCCTCACAGACATCACCCAGACCCTCATAGACATCAGCCAGACCCTCACAGACAACACCCAGACCCTCACAGACGTGACCATGACCCTCACAGACATCACCCAGACCCTCACAGACATCCCACAGACCCTCACAGACATCAGCCAGACCCTCACAGACATCACCCAGACCCTCACAGACATCACCCAGACCCTCACAGACATCACCCAGACCCTCACAGACATCACACAGACCCTCACAGACATCAGCCAGACCCTCACAGACATCACCCAGACCCTCATAGACATCACCCAGACCCTCACAGACATCACCCAGACCCTCACAGACATCACCCAGACCCTCACAGACATCACACAGACCCTCACAGACATCACCCAGACCCTCACAGACAACACCCAGACCCTCACAGACATCACCCTGACCCTCACAGACATCACCCTGATCCTCACCCAGACCCTCACAGACATCACCCAGACCCTCACAGACATCACACAGACCATCACAGACATCACCCAGACCCTTACAGACATCACCCAGACCCTCACAGACATCACACAGACCCTCACAGACATCACACAGACCATCACAGACATCACCCAGACCCTTACAGACATCACCCAGACCCTCACAGACATCACCCAGACCCTCACAGACATCACCCAGACCCTCACAGACATCACCCAGACCCTCACAGACATCACCCAGACCCTCACAGACATCACCCAGACCCTCACAGACATCAGCCAGACCCTCACAGACATCACCCTGACCCTCACAGACATCACCCTGATCCTCACCCAGACCCTCACAGACATCACCCAGACCCTCACAGACATCACACAGACCCTCACAGACATCACCCAGACCCTCACAGACATCACCCAGACCCTCACAGACATCACACAGACCCTCACAGACATCACACAGACCATCACAGACATCACCCAGACCCTCACAGACATCACCCAGACCCTCACAGACATCACCCAGACCCTCACAGACATCACCCAGACCCTCACAGACATCACCCAGACCCTCACAGACATCACCCAGACCCTCACAGACATCACCCAGACCCTCACAGACATCAGCCAGACCCTCACAGACATCACCCTGACCCTCACAGACATCACCCTGATCCTCACAGACATCACCCAGACCCTCACAGACATCACCCAGACCCTCACAGACATCACACAGACCCTCACAGACATCACCCAGACCCTCACAGTCATCACCCTGATCCTCACCCAGACCCTCACAGACATCACCCAGACCCTCATAGACAACACCCAGACCCTCACAGACATCACCCTGACCCTCACAGACATCACCCAGACCCTCACAGACATCACCCTGACCCTCACAGACATCAGCCAGACCCTCACAGACATCACCCTGATCCTCACCCAGACCCTCACAGACATCACCCTGATCCTCACAGACATCAGCCAGACCCTCACAGACATCACCCTGACCCTCACAGACATCAGCCAGACCCTCACAGACATCACCCTGATCCTCATAGACATCACCCTGACCCTCACAGACATCAGCCAGACCCTCACAGACATCACCCAGACCCTCACAGACATCACCCTGATCCTCACCCAGACCCTCACAGACATCACCCTGATCCTCACCCAGACCCTCACAGACATCACCCTGATCCTCACCCAGACCCTCACAGACATCACCCTGATCCTCACCCAGACCCTCACAGACATCACCCTGATCCTCACCCAGACCCTCACAGACATCACCCTGATCCTCATAGACAACACCCAGACCCTCACAGACATCACCCTGACCCTCACAGACATCACCCTGATCCTCACCCAGACCCTCACAGACATCACCCTGATCCTCATAGACAACACCCAGACCCTCACAGACATCACCCAGACCCTCATAGACAACACCCAGACCCTCACAGACATCACCCTGACCCTCACAGACATCACCCTGATCCTCACCCAGACCCTCACAGACATCACCCAGACCCTCATAGACATCACCCAGACCCTCACAGACATCACCCAGACCCTCACAGACATCACCCAGACCCTCACAGACATCACCCTGATCCTCACAGACATCACACAGACCCTCACAGACATCACCCAGACCCTCACAGACATCACCCAAACCCTCATAGACATCACCCAGACCCTCACAGACATCACACAGACCCTCACAGACATCACCCAGACCCTCACAGACATCACACAGACCCTCACAGACATCACCCAGACCCTCACATACATCACACAGACCCTCACAGACATCACCCAGACCCTCACAGACATCACCCAGACCCACACAGACATCACCCAGACCCACACAGACATCACCCAGACCCTCACAGACATCACCCAGACCCTCACAGACATCACACAGACCCTCACAGACATCACCCAGACCCTCACAGACATCACACAGACCCTCACAGACATCACCCAGACCCTCACATACATCACACAGACCCTCACAGACATCACCCAGACCCTCACAGACATCACACAGACCCTCACAGACATCACCCAGATCCTCACAGACATCAAACAGACCCTCACAGACATCACCCAGACCCTCACAGACATCACCCAGACCCTTACAGACATCACCCTGATCCTCACAGACATCACCCAGACTCTCACAGACATCACACAGACCCTCACAGACATCACCCTGATCCTCACCCAAACCATCACACACATCACCCAGATCATTACAGACATCACCCTGACCCTCACAGACATCACCCAGACCCACACAGACATCACACAGACCCTCACAGACATCACCCAGATCCTCACAGACATCACACAGACCCTCACAGACATCACCAAGACCCTCACAGACATCACCCAGACCCTCACAGACATCACCCAGACCCTCACAGACATCACCCAGATCCTCACATACATCACCCAGACCCTTACAGACATCACCCAGACCTTTACAGACATCACCCAGACAATCACAAACATCATTAACTGTACCCATGACACACTGGTAAGAGGTTGCAGATGATAACAAGTCAAGTGATGTTTGTGGCATGCCCTTGCTAGCCTCAGCTATTCCACAAACATCGCTTGACTTGTTATTATCCACAAACATCGCTTGACTTGTTATTATCCACAAACATCGCTTGACTTGTTATTATCAGCAACCTCTTACAAATGTCAATTGATGATGTAGACATGTTGGTCAAAGCTACCGCCCATAAATGTCACCTGATGATGTAGACATGTTGGTCAAAGCTACAACCAACAAATGTCACCTGATGATGTAGACATGTTGGTCAAAGCTACCGCCCATAAATGTCACCTGATGATGTAGACATGTTGGTCAAAGCTACAACCCACAAATGTCACCTGATGATGTAGACATGTTGGTCAAAGCTACAACCCACAAATGTCACCTGATGATGTAGACATGTTGGTCAAAGCTACAACCTACAAATGTCACCTGATGATGTAGACATGTTGGTCAAAGCTACAACCCACAAATGTCACCTGATGATGTAGATATGTTGGTCAAAGCTACCGCCCATAAATGTTACCTGATGATGTAGATATGTTGGTCAAAGCTCCCGCCCATAAATGTCACCTGATGAAGCTATGTTAACCATAACTACAAATGTCACCTGATGAAGCTATGTTAACCATAACTACAAATGTCACCTGATGAAGCTATGTTAACCATAACTACAAATGTTACCTGATGAAGCTATGTTAACCATAACTACAAATGTCACCTGATGAAGCTATGTTAACCATAACTACAAATGTGACCTGATGAAGCTATGTTAACCATAACTACAAATGTGACCTGATGTAGCTATGTTAACCATAACTACAAATGTGACCTGATGAAGCTATGTTAACCATAACTACAAATGTGACCTGATGTAGCTATGTTAACCATAACTACAAATGTTACCTGATGAAGCTATGTTAACCATAACTACAAATGTCACCTGATGAAGCTATGTTAACCATAACTACAAATGTGACCTGATGAAGCTATGTTAACCATAACTACAAATGTGACCTGATGTAGCTATGTTAACCATAACTACAAATGTCACCTGATGAAGCTATGTTAACCATAACTACAAATGTCACCTGATGAAGCTATGTTAACCATAACTACAAATGTGACCTGATGTAGCTATGTTAACCATAACTACAAATGTCACCTGATGAAGCTATGTTAACCATAACTACAAATGTTACCTGATGTAGCTATGTTAACCATAACTACAAATGTTACCTGATGAAGCTATGTTAACCATAACTACAAATGTTACCTGATGAAGCTATGTTAACCATAACTACAAATGTTACCTGATGAAGCTATGTTAACCATAACTACAAATGTCACCTGATGAAGCTATGTTAACCATAACTACAAATGTTACCTGATGAAGCTATGTTAACCATAACTACAAATGTGACCTGATGTAGCTATGTTAACCATAACTACAAATGTCACCTGATGAAGCTATGTTAACCATAACTACAAATGTTACCTGATGTAGCTATGTTAACCATAACTACAAATGTTACCTGATGAAGCTATGTTAACCATAACTACAAATGTTACCTGATGTAGCTATGTTAACCATAACTACAAATGTCACCTGATGAAGCTATGTTAACCATAACTACAAATGTTACCTGATGTAGCTATGTTAACCATAACTACAAATGTTACCTGATGAAGCTATGTTAACCATAACTACAAATGTTACCTGATGAAGCTATGTTAACCATAACTACAAATGTTACCTGATGAAGCTATGTTAACCATAACTACAAATGTTACCTGATGAAGCTATGTTAACCATAACTACAAATGTTACCTGATGAAGCTATGTTAACCATAACTACAAATGTTACCTGATGAAGCTATGTTAACCATAACTACAAATGTTACCTGATGAAGCTATGTTAACCATAACTACAAATGTTACCTGATGAAGCTATGTTAACCATAACTACAAATGTTACCTGATGAAGCTATGTTAACCATAACTACAAATGTCACCTGATGAAGCTATGTTAACCATAACTACAAATGTTACCTGATGAAGCTATGTTAACCATAACTACAAATGTTACCTGATGAAGCTATGTTAACCATAACTACAAATGTCACCTGATGAAGCTATGTTAACCATAACTACAAATGTTACCTGATGAAGCTATGTTAACCATAACTACAAATGTCACCTGATGAAGCTATGTTAACCATAACTACAAATGTCACCTGATGAAGCTATGTTAACCATAACTACAAATGTGACCTGATGAAGCTATGTTAACCATAACTACAAATGTGACCTGATGAAGCTATGTTAACCATAACTACAAATGTGACCTGATGAAGCTATGTTAACCATAACTACAAATGTGACCTGATGAAGGTATGTTAACCATAACTACAAATGTTACCTGATGAAGCTATGTTAACCATAACTACAAATGTTACCTGATGAAGGTATGTTAACCATAACTACAAATGTGACCTGATGAAGGTATGTTAACCATAACTACAAATGTGACCTGATGAAGCTATGTTAACCATAACTACAAATGTTACCTGATGAAGCTATGTTAACCATAACTACAAATGTTACCTGATGAAGGTATGTTAACCATAACTACAAATGTGACCTGATGAAGCTATGTTAACCATAACTACAAATGTTACCTGATGAAGGTATGTTAACCATAACTACAAATGTGACCTGATGAAGCTATGTTAACCATAACTACAAATGTTACCTGATGAAGCTATGTTAACCATAACTACAAATGTTACCTGATGAAGGTATGTTAACCATAACTACAAATGTGACCTGATGAAGCTATGTTAACCATAACTACAAATGTTACCTGATGAAGCTATGTTAACCATAACTACAAATGTTACCTGATGAAGCTATGTTAACCATAACTACAAATGTGACCTGATGAAGCTATGTTAACCATAACTACAAATGTGACCTGATGAAGCTATGTTAACCATAACTACAAATGTTACCTGATGAAGCTATGTTAACCATAACTACAAATGTGACTTTAGTTAGCCATGTTAACCTTAGCTACACTCTATAAACATGACCTGATGTAGGCATCCTAACCTGAGCTACCGCCATAAAGTGTGAGATTCTGCAGCTAGGCTATGCTACCATGGAATTACAGACATATGTAATCTACAAGGTCGGCTGTCCCTTAAGCTCGGTGAGAAACTGTTGACTATACCTTGCTTTTCAAATCATTCAGCAGATATATTATATGAAATAAAATTCTTGTTTTCAACAATTATAAAAGAATTCAGTGGAAACAAATGCAGTATTTGTGTTCACTGAATGGAATGCTGATAACAATAATGTCACATATTAATGTCATATGTGTACAGGCTTTCTTGTGTTAGATAATGCTTGAGAGCCCTTGTGTCTGTAATCGCCAGGAAGCCTTGAGCCCGCTGTGCTCCGGTAACAGCCACGCCCTAGACCCGAGAACAATGTGGTCCCCTGTGTCTGGTGGCCAGATTGGCCTGTATCTGGTGCAGCAAAATGCCAGCCCTCACAACCTCAGGCAACCTGCTAATGGTGTCTCCAGAGTTTTCAAACTCAGTGCATGGCGAGGGCCTGGTTGAGAAGTAAGATTACTGTGTTTCTCTTTCTTAGCTCTCACCGGCTATTAATTCTAGTAAAAAAGTTCTTGTTGTTCGTCCACTTCTGAAATTTGATTTTGTTCCAGAACTTAAGTTTTACAAGCACATCCGTTTTACAGATCTGTCATAATTGTATGCAGACTGCTGGTTCCTCATCTCTCAGGCAGATGCACACCGACTTTGAAGAAAACGCCCCTAATTATTCAACTGTATCACATGCTTCCCCAGACCTACACAAGGAAAACGTGTATTTACAGGCGAGAAAATCGACGTGGCTGCTCCAGTGTGTATTCACTATTGCTGGGTTGTATCCACTATTGCTGGGTTGTATCCACTATTGCTGGGTTGTATCCACTATTGCTGGGTTGTATCCATTTTGGCTGGGTGTATTTCCATTATGGCTAGGCGTGCATTAACTATGTCTGGCAGTGAATCCACTATGTCTGGGAGTGTATCCATTATGGCTGGGTGTGTATCCATTACGGTTGAGTGTGTATCCATTACGGTTGGGTGGGTATCCATTACGGCTGGGTGTGTATCTACTATGGCTGGGAGTGTATCTACTATGGCTGGGTGGGTATCCATTATGGCTGGGTGTGTCTCCATTATGGCTGGGTGTGTATCCATCATTGATGGCTGTGTATCCACCATGGCTGGGAGTGTATCCACCATGGCTGGGAGTGTATCCACCATGGGTGTCTATCAATTACAGGTGGGTGTTATCCACTATGGCTGGGAGTGTATCCATTATGGCTGGGAGTGCATCCAGTATGGCTGGGTGGGTATCCATTATGGCTGGGTGTGTATCCATCATGGTTGGGTGTGTATCCATTATGGCTGGGTGTGTATCCATCATGGCTTGTAGTGTATCCATCATGGCTGGGTGTGTATCCATCATGGCTGGGTGTGTATCTTTTATGGCTAGGAGTGTATCCATCATGGCTGGGAGTGTATCCATCATGGCTGGGTGTTTGTCTATTACGGCTGGGTGTGTATCCATCATGGCTGGGTGTGTATCTTTTATGGCTGGGAGTGTATCCATCATGGCTGGGTGTGTATCCATCATGGCTGGGGGTGTATCCATCACGGCTGGGTGTGTATCCATCATGGCTGGGTGTGTATATATTAAAGCCATGTGTGTATCCATTATGGCTGGGAGTGTATCCAACATTGCTGTGAGTGTATCCACCATGGCTGGGAGTGTATCCACCACAGGTGTCTATCAATTACAGGTGGGTGTGTATCCACTATGGCTGGGAGTGTATCCAGTATGGCTGGGTGTGTATCCATCATGACTGGTAGTGTATCCATCATAGCTAGGTATTATCCATTATGGCTGGGTGTGTATCCATCATGGCTGGGTGTGTATCCATCATGGATTTGTGTGTATCTATCATGGCTGGGTGTGTATCCATTATGGCTGGGTGTGTATCCATTATGGCTGGGTGTGTATCCATTTTAGCTGGGTGTGTATCCATTATGGCTGGATATGTATCCATTATGGCTGGGTGTGTATCCATTATGGCTGGATATGTATCCATTTTGGCTAGATATGTATCAATTATGGCTGGATATGTATCTATCATGGCTGGGTGTGTATCCATTATGGCTGGATATGTATCCATTATGGCTGGGTGTCTCTCCCCAGAATTCCTGATCTCCAGCGACAGCGGTACACAAGGCACGAACCACGTAGAGCCAGCGATGGTCCTCTGGTATCTGTGACACATCTGGGAGGGGGGGGGGCGGGTCTGATACTCTCCGTTTCAGGCAATACTCTAGATTTATCAGGCAAATCTATCAGAGATCTGATAGAAAAGAAGACTTAAAGGTCTGACACTGTGAAACTAAAGAATCTCAGTGCTGATGACAGACCTATAGTACAAGCCGTTCCCGCCTTCAACCTAAAGAAAGTTATAATTAGGGCCCCTGTAACGGCCACACTAGCCTGGTGTACCCTGCAGTCATGTACGGGTAAGGACCATACTATGACGACACATACAGTAGCCATTTAAACAACAATATCCTGTTCAACCTATCCCGGTTTTAACTGGGTATACATTGGTGATACATATGACGTCATCTATATTGTAGGGTAACCAGCCGGAAGTGACGTAACGGTACCAGTGAAACAAATGTGACGTAGAGGCCATCAGGTGAAGCCAGGTAGGGCACACATGGGAGTCTGGCAGACACAACATCAGCACACATAGACAGAAGGCTCATTGACAGCCAAGGCGCATTGAGTTTGTTTATGAGTAAAATATAGGCTCCCTGAGGTGACGGTCGTCAATCGATGGTCCCGGTACATGGCAAAACCATCGGTGAAGTAGATAAGGGCGGGAGATGGGAGTGCCAATGTGTGGTACACATATGTGGGTTACTGTGGGTAGGGGAGTGTTACTGTAGGGGGGGGGGGAATACACATGCAGACAGGGGGCAGACAGGGTATTCATGTGTGACACAGAGAGAGAGAGAAAGAGAGAGAGGGAGAAAGAGAGAGAGAGAAAGAAAGAGAGAAAGAGAGAGAGAAACATGTTGATACAGAGAGGGAGAAAGGAAAAGATGGCAACAATGAGGCAAGCGCGTGCGTGCACACACATTTACTAATGAGAGAGAGAGAAGCGGAGAGAGAGAGAGAGAGAAGGGGGAGAGGAAGAGGGGGGAAAAGAGAATGGGAGAGAAAGAGATAATGGGAGAGAGAGGGAGAGAATAGGAGAGAGAGAGAATGGGAGAGAGAGAGAATGGGAGAGAGAGAATGGGAGAGAGAGAAGGGGGAGAGAGAGAGTTTGAGACCCACAGACTGTCCCGGAAAAAAATTGAGAGAGACAGCCCGGGAGCGAATGACATAGAAAGGGGTGGGGGGGGGGGAGAAAGAGGAAATGATTGCAGAGAGTGGAGGGAGGTCCAGCAGACAGAAAACAGACAGGTCGTGACAGACGGTCTGACAGACATGCAGACAGTGCGATAGATATATAGTATATACTAGCTAGCAGGCTTAAACAGTCAGACAGGGAATATGCCAGATATAGAGAGACATGCAGGGACATACAGGAGCAGATACCAAGTCAGACAGGTTGAGGGCAAAACTGGAGGACGGAAATGCAGTTAGAGAAAAACAGACTGAAAGAAAGGGGAGGGGAGAGACGGGTAAAGACACGGAGGGAAAATGACAGGAGGAAAGAGAGAAAGATAGCAGAGATGGAGAGAGTCACATACACACACACACACACACAGAGATAGAAAGAGAGACACAGAGAGAGAGAGAGGGAGAGAGAGAGAGAGAGATTGGATGAAAATACTGACGACAATGTTGGGTGTTGCAGTAGCGTCCATCCACCTGGTGTTGTTGTCTCCAGGAAACAAGATAAATCAGTTTGAATGGGTTTGTTTTTCTTGGCAGGATTTCAATACATCTTCTCTCTCTCTCTCTCTCTCTCTCTCTCTCTCTCTCTGTGTGTGTGTGTGTGTGTGTGTGTGTGTGTGTGTGTGTGTGTGTGTGTACTGCCTCATCATGGTGTGTCTGTCCAAACTCTGTCTCTGGATATGCATGAGTGATCAAAGTAATCAATGGGATCCAACCCCGAGATGGAAAACAAAACCGCGGGAAACTGTAAAAATTTAGGAAAGCGACATGTGGGGTCAAGGTCAGTCATGCTGTCAGATTCGAGCCTGTGGTAAACCCGCCTGCCCCTGTATGAGTGCCGATCGGTTGCTAGAGGACGGTAAGTATTGATTCAATCATATACAGGTCTATGGGCTGTATGTGGTAAACCCGCCTGCCCCCGTATGAGTGCCGACCGGTTGCTAGAGGACGGTTAGTATTGGGTTCAATCATATACAGGTCTATGGGCTGTATGTGGTAAACCCGCCTGCCCCTGTATGAGTGCCGACTGGTTGCTAGAGGACGGTAAGTATTGGGTTCAATCATATACAGGTCTATGGGCTGTATGTAACAAGTTACCGTGCAACATACAAGAGTCAAACAGTTCCTACACGTCACACTCAGGGTTATCGAGATCTACCGCGTATCCTAGATATTAGGATGTACCACACACACACACACACACACACACATGCACGCACGTACGCACACACACACACACACGGAAACACACAAACGCTGCCACGCTATATACGGCGACTGGTGTATTTTATGTACTATGGTCGTCTTTACATTGTATGTAGGGGTAAAATTGGCGACGTTACGTATATTTTAGCTTTCTCCTACTTGAAGTACCACATGAATTTACTTGAGCTGTCAATGTTGACGGCTCCAGTTAGCATCACAAAAGGCCGATTTTAGGGCCCATCACAAAATGTGTCAGTTCTGAAACCACGTACGCTGCACTCTCTCGTGGGACGTAGGATGAGGCTTAAAGTGGGAAAGGGGGAGGGGGGGTTAGGACCAGGTATGTGGTCGTTAAAAGCTGTCACATCGTGTAATATAGTACACGCATCATCGCCAGTGATAGCACCGGAGACAATACAACACGACACCCCTGTAACGTAGAATAGCCTGAACAAGCATGAATGAAAGGTCAACCAGTATGTAGCTGGGCCCATCGTAAAAAGAACCGTAGCAACAAAAGATACAAGCTACCTAGAAATGAGGAATCTCCACTTTGTACCGTCGCTAGAAAAAGTTATAAACCATCTAGAAACTAAATTTCCTTTCCTACTGTGGCTCTAATCTAAACATTATCATCTATGTAAAGTAAAACACCGAAATACACAACCTAACTGCTCACAGAAGCCGCCGGAGAGACGAGATCCCCGCCCAGCACCATGTTCTCGGCACAGATAGACGCAGGTGGTCATGTGGAAAGAAAGACGAGCACAACACAGGACAACCAGAGCCTACTGTCTCGCATGACACGGAGGAATCTCTTCTTGGCAACCTCACAAACGTTTGGGAGAGCAAGAAGTTGGCACATGTACAGACGTGTGTGCTTGTCTCGGCATCTTCTACACAACGAGCTGGCAGGTGCCTTAACCCTCTCTCACCAACCTGTCCTATCTTAACACTTCCCGTCCCAGCTGGCTGGTGCATTTACAATATTCTCATAGTTTATGCTTTAATCCTTTATGCCTGCCACCCGTTCTACCAAGGACGTTCACCTATTCAGTTGCAGAGGGCCAGTGTCCTTGTTATTAGGTCAACTGTCTATATCCCAGATCTAGCGTACATAACCCTAACCCCCAGCTGTTGGAAAAACTACAAGTAAAGATCTCTGTGCACGCCAGTGTCCTTGTTATTAGGTCAACTGTCTATATCCCAGATCTAGCTTACATGAGCCTCATCTCTCCCCCCCCCCCCCCCCCCCCCGGCTATTGGACACACTACAAGTAAAGCTCTCTGTGAACGCTGGTGGCGCACAGACAAACTCTTTTTTGTCTTCTTCTGAGCTGCGGATCTGAAGGTCGTGGGTTCGGATCCTGACGAAGCCGGACTTGTGTCACTCACCTTTATTCCCAGGTCGACCCAGCCTTGAGTGGGTACCAAGAACAAGCCCTTGGAAGTAAAGGTGGCCGGGGCGTGATGCGAGACCATAAAGTGCCAACTGGTCTATAAAATATAGATCTAGCCTTATTTGCCCAGAACGCCTAAGGGCGTGGGAAATGGTCCTTTACTTCTTCTTGACGTTCACCAGCTGTAAACTCCAGCTGAAGTTCTGGCTGTTCGTCCATTTCTAGACTTTATGTGTTTCAGAACTTGAGTTTTGCGTACACACTCGTCTGGCTTATTTGTATGCAGAGTGTACGTTCCTGGTCTCTCAGGCAGATGAACTCCGACTTTGAAGGAGACATCCATAACTAGTTGCCTCCTACGACATGATTGCAGTAGGTCTATCCTATGTTCTCCAAAAAAAGCCCTAGAACCCACCTAGGGAGCATCAGACAATAATGCTAAACCCATCTGTACAGACCAGTCGGCACTCTAGGCGTGATGTGGTTAACATCACGCCGGCCGTCTTTACTTCGCAACAACATTTCCTGGTACCCATTTTAGGATGGCTGGACACAACAGGCGAGGTCAACTGTAAAAACCAACTGTTGAACTGATTGATCTGAAAGGGGGCGGGGGACTAACCACGTTCAACAAACTCCTTTCGGAAGAGAAAAACAAAAGGCTCCTGGCTATAATTCTAAGTTTCTTGTGGCAAATTTAATGACTAAAATTGCCAGCTGTTGAAATGTGACTTTCACTCTTTATGTGCCAGATCTGGCAGACATCAAGCCTTACTGACAACAGAAGGGCTGCTTGCAGATAGCTGTAAACCTTGTCTAAGCGCACAACCTACTATTGTATCGATGTTTATCATGTTATGAGATGATTCCCACCTAGGGCGGTAAGTATCAGGAATGTCATGTTTGGGAGTAAGAAGTTAAACAACAAACAGAGTAGAGTCTAAACAATGCTACTATATCCTATGAGAAACTCCAGACTGGCAACCACAAGTAACAGACACTCAAACACACAAAATACAACATCGCGAATATAAGATGAAAACACTAGCATCAACTGACAACACATCCTACCAGAGAGCACATGATCCAACACGACTGCTAGCTTGCACGCGCATGAAATGACCTTATGTGTTGCCGACAATCAGACGTGAGCGCATGTAAA